GCTGCTGCTGCGTAGTTATATACCAAAAATATTTGTGTTGCGAAATTAAAACCCGTTGCGAATTCAGAAATCGAGTTGCGAATTTGAAATTCAGTATTGCGATAGTCAGAATTTCGTGCGATTTACAGATTCGCATTGCGATTTACGTATTCGCATTGTGATTTACGTATTCGTATTGCGATTTACGTAATCGCATTGCGATTTACGTAATCGCATTACGATTTACGTATTCGCGTTGCGATTTATGTAATCGCGTTACGAATTAGGAAAATCGCAACGCGAATTTGGGAAATCGCAATGCGATAGTAAGAATCGCGTTGCGAATCTGGAAACTGATTTGCGATGCCGGAGATCGCGTTGCGAATTATCGATCGCGTTGCGATTTACGGATACGCGTTGCGATTTACGTATTGTCGTTGCGATTTACGGATACGCATTGCGATTTACGTATTCTCGTTGCGATTTACCGATACGCGTTGCAATTTACGTATTCTCATTGCGATTTACGGATACGCGTTGCGATTTTACGTATTGTCGTTACGATTCGGATACACGTTGTGATTTTACGGATACTCGTTGCGATAGTCAGAATCGCGTTGCGATTTATATGTTCGCGTTGCGATTCTGGAAAATCGCAATGCGAATTTGTACTATCGCATTGCGATTCTTCATAATCGCGTTGCGATTCTGGGAACTGATTTGCGATTCTGGAGATCGCGTTGCGATTTTTATTTCGCATTGCGATTTTGTTGGTCATTTTCGCAAATCCAAAAAAAATTGGTTAAAATTGTATATTATAGGGATTTTCGGTCACTGAGGTTCTCTTATCTGAAAATCCACTGTTACTTATGTTTTTATAGATATTTTTCTGCTTTACTAGTAAACTTTTACTATAGTTAAAATCATGAATTATTTTTAGGGTAAATTACGCGTTATTGTCTAAACTATCAGTTTTGATTTGTTATAATATCTAAACTTTAATTTTTTTAAACATACCCAACTTTTAGTTTTATTTATTTTAATACTCGGCCGTTAAAAATTTAACGGACGAGTTCGCCGGTCGTTGTGTCTATAGTCGTCGACCATTGTATCCGCCAGTTGATGAAACCCAAATTTTCAAGTTCTTACTTTTTTTACCCCTAAAAACTATTCCAGCTTTCTTTCACCGTAAAATGTCTTAATCTCCCCCAAATCAACGATGTACTCTTTGATTTCTTCATCCTCTGATCCTCATGGTCCACAGTTCGATAGGTCTGAAATTGAATTATGTTGGTCGACTTGTCATTCTCTCGTGGTATTCCGTTCATATTGATTGTTTGTCCACTAGAGTTAATACCACATCAACTTGTCCGTTAATTTTTTAACGATAGGGTACTAAAATAAAACAAAAACTAAACGTTAGGTATGCTTTTGAAGAAAAAAATGAAAGTTTATGTACTAAAATAGACCAAAATTGATCGTTTAAGTACTAAACACGTAATTTACCATATTTTTATTATTATTTTAGAACCACTTGAAACTACCGTGCACTTGTTGATAATTTACACTTGTTAATATACTAAAGAGTCTCTTATTCTTCCTATAAAAGGGACAATTCATTTAAACCTTTTAACCAATCAATAATTCTTACTCAAATCAAATAAAGAAATTATAAATCACCAATTTATCTATCTCCATTCTTATTGTATAAATCATTGTTAATCGTCACTTCATATTAATATTAATGCAATGAACACAAATATTTTTTCATTTTAAAAGATAAGTCAGATAACAATTATGCAGACATAGATTTGAGTACATAGAGTTAAAATAAAATGAACACTAATATTAACTAACAACGTAATATTCATTTTATAATATTTTAAAATTATAATAACAAGTTGTTCAACATAATTTAATACTACATTTATCAACTTTACTCGATAATATGTACCAACGCATCTCGCTTTAGATGCTGGACTGCATATTTCACTTCAGAATATATACCGTGCAGGTTCCTATTCACTCAACTCAAACTCACATAAGCTTAGGTAATTAAAGATACTAATCATATCATTTAAGATACTAATCGTTATCTTCACATTAATGGCTTACAGCAGTTGGTCGATTAAGATATCATATTTAGCTTAGAGCTAATATCCAGGGAACTTAGAGCTGTGGGGTGCAAGCAGATCAAACCAGAGGCAAGCTATCCCACCAAGTCCTTGGAAAAGGGAGTAGCCATGATCGCCTCCATGTCCAACATTTACAAGCTTCCTTTCAATGTGGTGCAAGTAACTTGCAAACGCCTTTGCCCTTTCTTCTTAAATGCTCTCTCCAGTAAGTCGATATACCATCAGCTAGTCCCACCTTCTTCACTAACCCATTTTTCCACACGACCTCCCCTGCTTCTATGGTGGGGTCACGAAATTCTCTATCATTCGGATAGACCTTCACGACTGGAGCAAGAATTATGGATCAAAATGTATTAGAAATGACAATCATTGTTTGCATTAAGATTTAAGAGTGACAGAGTTGCTAACCTGTGATGCCTTGGCTAGAGTGATTGCCATACTGGTTGCACCATGAGACCACTGCACCAACTTGTCCCTCGAGTTCCCTTCACTTGAAGGGTAATTTCCACTGTGGAGGAATCTGTTACTCATCATGTACCTTAACGTTCTCATCATCTTCCGAGGGAGGGAAATGAAGGAGCACGTGCAGATTCCAGCAAGACCGTTGGCTGCACCCCAGTACCTTGTACCATGCCATCGATACATCAGCGGCAGGCCGGGAGATCGGAAGCCCCAGTCCTACCCGCAGCTAATATAGCATCAACGATCGGCATTAGAACATCATTTGGTACCGTTTCATCCCTGAGATGCTTGTTTAGGAACAAAGCAGCCCATAAGAATCCGGCTCGACCGTGAAGAAGATCATACGACATTCCAAAACCACCTTCTTCAGGTCCAACCGGAAGAGCCTTTTCTTGTGCTACCTATACTTTGTTAATTAGAATAGTAAAGTTAGGTATATTATGATGGTCTCCATGAACCACACAAAGTGATCAAGGCTGCGGTACAAAGGATTTTTCACGATGACATAATAGGAATGCAATTGATGGAAAAATATCATCACGTTTTGAACTGTATAGATAGGACATATAGTGGGCATAAATAAAGAGACCTCGCGGAACAGATTTAAGAAGAGTCCAAGCCTTTGATGGTCCCCCAAATAATTGGCTACCACTGCTCCAAGTGAAAATACCCCTCCTCTACCACATAAAAATGTCACATGTCTGAAACCAAATAATACCATCAATTAAATAAATTAAAAATATCAACTTATTAATAACTAAATATTTGTTTCATCTAAAAAAGGAAATTTCTTTAAGATAATTTACACATCCTTAAGATCGATTCATTACTAGAATTCTGTGCTTCCACCATTGGAATCCGTATCACTACCATGAATCACAATATTCCAACACAATTGTTCAAGGATTAAATTTAGCATAGATATGTGCAAAAAAGTTACCTGATAGAGGCACGTCAACAGGGACGCACGCGTCAACGATCTCAGCGGCCAATGACAGGTCCTGCCGATTACCAGTCACCTCTTAAGATCTCAAGCAAGTAAAAGCTGTCCCCAGTATCCCCGTGTACACAGTCGGGTCTATTCCCGAACACGACCCGCCTCCGCTTCCACCTCCTCCTTCCCACGTTACCTCCAGAAAATAACAGCAGAAAAACAAAACCCTTAACTTAAACTTCAAAACAGCATATAAAAGCTGATGCCATGTCTTAATTAACATCATAGATAGTTCGAGGTTGAAATGTAAGAACAAGTTTCTGTCGTAAGAAAAATAAAATCCCACAGTCAAGCGTACCTGGTTCTTGAGAGAGATGGCAGCTTTGAGGAAAGTATCAGCAGAGAGTGAGAAGCTGTTAGAAAGCGTCGGGTCCATGTTAAGCAAATGATCTAACCGTTCATTTCTACCCTCTTCATTGCTTTCCTTAGATGCGGCAAACTCCATTACAGAAGACATTGATGTTTGGTTTTTGAAACTTTGGTGTGAAGTTTGAAACTTTTTCTATCAACGCTAAAGAGGTAACTATGGAGAGATAAAGGAAAACAAGGAATAAGATGCCAATTCGAATGGCCAATGTCGATGGTGGTATTGTGCTGGGCTGTGGTTCTATGGAATGGCAGTGCAGCACACGCAGATGGAGGTTGCTACACGTGGCATCCATTCAAGTATTAAGATCCAGACACTCATTCGTTGATTACCAAGTGGCTCACGTTTTAATGAAAAAACTTAAAGATTAAGTCTGCATCGGATGGTTGGGATAAGTGGGGCCACTGCATTTCTATAATTGTTCAGATTTTTTGTCAAAAAATAAAAATAAAAAGTTGTTCAGATTCGAGTCTGATAGATACGAAAATCTGATGATTAATTTAAATTTGATAAATTAGAGAAATAATACTCTTGAAAAAATAAGGAAAATAAATATTCTGAGTGAGGAAAATTTTAGTAAAATATTATATCATTATTAATAAATATATTAATTTTTGAGATTAAAATATAAAAATAAAAGTATAGAAACTAAAATGATTTTTTTAATTTCTCTCTTTAAATGAAATGATGATATTTAAGAATTAATAATGCTGATGTTTAAACTATAATTATATTATACTATATCATATCATTATTTTATCTAATATTTAAAGATAAAATAATATATTTATAATAATAATTTAATTGATATATTTATAATTTTTTAAGAAAATAATCTATTTATTTTCGAACTCGTTATTAACATTGGATGTAGTTTATATGATAAAGGGGAAAAAAGAGTGCCATTACACGTATTGAAACGCCGCCTATTATTACCAATATTCAGTTTATTACATTCTAGTTCTTCATAAACTCCTACTTTAAAGAAAACATGTAATCAAAGGAAATGTAATAAAAAAAATCCGACCAGCCTACCCGATTTATCTTTATAAAGCAGCAAAAGGAAAAACGAATATAACACAAATCAGAAAAGGCTCTATCTAACATGCACCACAGCAAATATCATATACATCAATGCATTCCTGAAGACTTAAGCCAGCTATGTATGTTCATGCATACCTGCAAGGTGTGTAGGCAATTAAAGAAGCCGAAGCAACCATGCTCCATCAAATTCCTCCATAATGCGCTGTTTAAGCCTCACTTAGCAATCGTGTACCTTTTGAGTACCTATAATGGCCAACTGATGATGAAACTACAGGATCTACTGTACCATAATATATATATATATATATATATATATTCAATGAAGCTTCCTATCAGAAAGGCACAATTTATATTACAGTCCTAACCAACTTATGGTCCTATTTTCGTGTCTTCGAAGTGAAAGCAGTCGGCAACTTTCAGGTGAGTTGCAAGCTGCCTGACAGACGACTGCACAGCATCAGCCTTTGGTGACAAAGATGTCAGAAGTTGTGGTAGGCAAACAGGAAGATATTGATCACTCTCTTCCGGAGGGCAGAAGGCATAGAGAACGGCTCGACAGAATATGAATCTGAAGAAATTTTGCAACATACAATCATTTCACTAGTTCATCGAAGCATCCATAATTGTAAAACAGATGCAAACATGATGAACACGCAATACATTCTATTAATGCTTAGCTGCATTTCCCCACCTCCTCCACTTGATTATAATGAATAACGTGTAACAGCAGCCCAAACCAGAGCCGACAAGTGCAATGGGGTCAAATAAAAGAACATGCGAAATGGCTTTCATTATTCTCCATATATCATGAAGTAAATTTTTATCCAGGTATACTTCCAGTCAACCAAGCAAAATTTATCTTAGCTGTATACAAAGACAAAAGCTACCAAGATAAAGATGAAAGATTAAATACCTAACAATAAACCGCCTTAAGAAAGGATCGGATAAAACTTGCGCCCAAACTAGATCCAGGCTAGGAGATTTGCAGAGAATCATTTCCCACTTGGAAAAAGCAGTAAATAATATGTTTTCAGCAGTATTTAAAACTTCCTAATAGTAGAAAAACCAAAGCAGGTGAAAGTAAGACCAACTGGCATAGATGCACCATTAAAAAGGTCAAATATATATTGAAAGTAACTCACTATAGTACTATAGGACAAGGTGAAGCCAACCATTTGGCAGAATGCTTGTAGAGGGGCAGTCAAGAAAAAGGTAAACTGTCTTCCATTCTGAGTAATATCGGCATGAGATGGGTCCTTAAACATTGCTCTCAACGGCGAAAGCAGTAGGGCAGCTTTCTCTCCTCTTTCTGCACCATGTAAGACCTGAAATTCGTATTAATTTATCCTATAAGCAACCCCATAGATGAATAAGAATTCAGATGAAAGCACTAGACGAGATGCTGTAAAGTCAACCATCACAAATACTGCAAGCAAGCAGTTAACTACAAGTTAACGGACCCCACATTCTCTTCCAAAAATAAAAGAACCTAACAGCTGATACCCAATTTTAAACAAACATGTTACAAGCAGTTCAAATCTCAGAGGAGGGTGTCATAAATTTTAATTGATTGATTACTTACTTTTTATTTTTCATCTCAGCTTGATATTGAAGGAACATTTTAGATATAGGTTAATTTCTTGGTAAAGATTCATGAAATCTTGGAATCAACAGCAGAACAGAATGAAGCCTACCCATTGACATTACAAACAAATGGTAAAATTCATCTCTTCTGATTAATTTCAATCTATTATTTTTATCTTCAGAAGGCATTGCAATAAAAAAGGACTTTATTTGCACATTGCAGCCACAACAATCTAACACATAATCAAACATTAACCTAGGGGTTTAATATCTTCTCAAACCTTCAAATTGTGTTTTAACTGCCTTCTTTTTTTATTATAATTAAAACTAATTCCATTTTTAAGTTGACTACCCATCATTTTGATATGCAAAATGCATTGGAATGAAATTAACTTAATTTGCAAGTTACAGTAAGAGCAATCAATGTCCCATTTATCATAGCAGCCTAGAGTTATTATATGTCCTCTTGAATGTCACATTGCTTTTTGAAACTTATTAATCCAAAAAGGCTACCAAATGATACCATGTCACCTTTTTGCATGAGGCAAAACAAAACTGGCACAAACCCCTTTGTTCTTCATCGAGTCTAGAGCTTTCTAGATTTGATTCTTCAACAAGAGCAACGTTCATCAACCTGCCACCGCTTCCCTATCAATTGGTATCAGATTTGGGCCGATTCTTGGAAAGAAGCAAGCAATCTTGCTTGTTCTTGCACACAAAACCGTCAAGGTATCTCAACGGAGCTAGTCCAGAAAAGATTCATCGTTTCAGGTTCTTTTTATTTAATTTTAATTTAGATTCAAATTCTTCTTGTTAGTTTGCTATTTTTTAAAAAAAAAACAAAAAAACAAAAACAAAAAAACAAAAACAAAACAAAAAAGCCAAAATTTCAAAAAAAAATAGAGGTTACTTGAACCTGAAAATTCCAGAAAACCATACTGAGCATTAATCAGAACATGCTAAATAATATATAGTAGCTTCAATCCACAAAACCCTCAAGAGTAAAAGCTAAAGAAAACATTTTGTATTAAATATGACTATAGGCACCTACCACCATTTCCTTTAGGACCTAAGCACAGATGATCATCGTAATGGTCACTAGACTCTTCCTTGCCATTAGTGTGGGGTTCAGGTGCAGAAAAATTATGTTCTAGGGAATTGTGAGAAACAAGTTTGTTTTGGGTTGTTCGCTTAGATCCTCCTGAAGTTTCTACCGGAGAAGAATTGATATGACTAGGCTTCCCTGCATATTCATCACAGTGTCAACAGCTTAGAAAAACACATTCAAATTATTTCGATCTTTTTCTCAGATGGCAACGATGAGGAAGCAAAAGCAAAAGTACCTGAGGCTGATAGATAAACTAGTATAATGCTCTCTGGAGGGAGCTCCTCACAAATTGTAGCCATAACCTGCCCAAACTCATCCGTGATGATTATATCCACATATAAGCCTATGCAAAATACATAAAAGGAAAAAAGAACAGATACACTATTTTAGCAGGCTAGTAGCAATGATTAAATAACAGATCCATCTAATTTGAGTAAAGTTTTCACTGAAATACAAATAGTTAGTTATTGGTTTATGTAGATATTATGCCACTACCGTACAATCTAACGTTATCTATATCCATTATCCAACAGAATGATATGATTAAAATAAAGCTTTCACACAGACAACAATTTTCGTATACCATGACAACCGAAGCTCCTAAGAGTAAATCAACATTACGTATCAAGTTCCTAAGGAACGTGAATACATTAATATTCTCTTTTGGTCCCGTCCTTTCAAAGAAAAGGAAATACGATATTCATTAAACGATTTTTCAATAATAGCCTAAAAACTCAATCAGATAAACCAAATTAAGCAATCTAAAACAAAGGAAAAACAGAGGTCTAGTTGTCTCCTAGCAATGGAAAATTTTAACAGAAGCAAGTTCAATTAACAGGCTTTATGGAACTCACTGCTACAAAATGTGTTACAGAGGGTCGATACAAAATAGCCTTCCTAGGATTTGGAGGTAAGGTTTGATCAGTCATTTCCGCAGCCAAGTTCATATCTATCAGTCCAGAAGTTCCAGAATAATCAATTGCAACAGCATTCTCCTTTGGTTCAGCCAGATGCTTTTGGTAACTTGATCCGCTGGGCTCCCACTCTAAACATTGCATCATTCTATATGCATCCAGAGTAAGTTCAGCAAATTTGACCTAAACATGACAATAAGATAAGGGATTATGACAATCACAATTTGTAAGTTACATCTGACTTTGAACAATCTTGAAACCAATGATCAAACCAACAAAAATAGATTTCACCTCATTCCAGTGATAACTCATCAGGATTGCATCTCGAAACTTTAGAATTTGGATGACAGTCAAACATGGCACGGTACCTAAATGGCCTAACAGTTGGAATTGTGAAATTTGTATCCGCATTCATAAAGAGAACAATTTCTTGCACTACTAGTTTCCACTCTTTAAAGTTTGTTTCCTGGGGAAAAAATCATATGCCTTCTATCAGTTGCTTCTAACATTTCCCACACAATAACAATCCAATGGAACATATGAAATAAATTTTCAGTAGAATTTCTATGAAAAATGAAAACTGAAGAGATCTGAGTCTCCAACAAATCCTAAGGTTTCAGTCTTCTTTTGATAAGCTAAACTATCCATAACAATAGGTCGTAATAAATTGGCATCAGCACCAACGACCCTCATCAACGACAGAACAATAGTCAGCAGAGCGGGCAGCAGAAATATGCAAGGAGCTCAAGCATATGCAAACAAAAATATAAAAATTAATTGATCGTACATTGCAGCATGTTAATGAAATTATAGTTGAAACCAAAACCTAAGTGTTCAAACGAATGCGTTAAAGAACGGATAAAATGATTGATGGTAAAAAGGTTACTAAATCTATGTTAGATACAAAGGTAGACCCCATAACTGAAGAAAACCAAACCATTGAAACCTCTACCGATCTCTCTACATTATCATTTGCATCAAAAAATCCAAAAAATCATTTCGACAGAAACTATGGTAGTCACAACGAACTTCACTTCCTTGTTTGACCCCTTCAAAACTTGTATCCTACAATCTATCATTTTCTTTAAACCTGATCCGAAAACCTTCAAATCTAAGAAGTTTAACGAGTCTAATCTTGATGATCACATAGGAAAGAGATTTGGAAATGATGGAGACTCAATTGTTAGTTCTTTTATTAAAGAAAGTGCATTTTTTTTAACTAAAGACATAGATTTGCTAACAGAGAAAGCATTTGTTTGTTATTTTTGAAAACTATTAATGTTGGTTAGAAGCTTGAAGAGGCTTACTCAATGGCGTTGATAAATGGTAATAAAGTTTTAGAAGTCCATGAACCGTATCCATTCAACTGTTAATAATAGAAAGGAGTAACTGAGGTAGTTGTTGATTTATTTCACTCAATTTATTTCCTTAAAATGAAGTAAAATGAGGGGAAGTATGGAATAATAAACTCTAAGCGTAATTTCTATAAAAATTCCTAAAAAGAACGGAATACGAATCCTAAGGTTTCAATATTAAGTATAATTTACAATAGATGGCAACACCATAACAAAAGAATATCCATAAAAAATTTTCAACATATGATTACTTTGTATAAAGGCAGGAAATAATGTAATCAAATTCATCAATTCAAACAATTATACTCTGATAATTCTTCACTTCAAATACTTCGATTACCTAATCTATAAGAACGAATTACTTATTTTTCTTCAAATGATGAAACCGCAAAAGATACTAAACTATATACTAGGAAAAATGAGGTAAAAAAGAAGAGAAAATTGATAATTAAACCAAATAAAAATTGCAGATCCATTAACTTGATTAAAATTAAGATTTCTTAATGGAAATTCCAGTTGTGGTCTTCAGTTAAATCACGTAAATGTTATTTTCATTTTTATTTAAAGAAAGGATTCATTTTGAAGTATGACAATCATAATGGTAATCAATACAAAATAAATGAAGAAAAAATTAAGCTCAAAATTCCATAATTAATAAAAAAGTGTATATATATTTACCCGGAAATTAGCGTTGCAGTCGTCCACAAGAGCTCTGAGCTTTTCAACAACAACCTTCACCATCTCGGTCCGGTTCAAAATCAGCAAAACGAGCAAAAACCGGGCGTAAAATCTCAACTCCTTAAACCGGACTCCGATATCATTCACACCCTTCAAAATACCTCCTCTTCAGAATCGCTTCATAGAAAATGTAAGCTTCGACCAGAAACCTAGCCTCGCTCGTCCTCGTGTACTGTCCGAAATGCTTGCAGCTGGCCAATCCGACCGGCAATCTCGCCAATCTCCCACCTGTTCAGACCGGCTTTGACAAGCTCCGTTCGGTTGTCTTGCTGGTACTTCCATAATGTCATGTAAGCTTTGAATACTTTCTGCAAATAATGTTGTCCTTGTGCCCGTCCGTATGACGGGAAGTCACGGACTCGCGCGAATTTACGGTCCGCGCTCTCCACAAGAGCTCGGAAGGTCTTGGGAACGACGTCGTCCTCTTCCACCATGAAAAGAACAGTGGGGAAAAAACTAGAAATTTCAATTAAAAAATGGAGGTGGATGACTTGGCGGTATTTTACGATGGACATCAATAAATGTTCCGGCGAGGTTTAAAGAGACAGAAAACGAGAGTGAGAAGACTTTTCTGAGGTGAGCTGTGGTTTTATGGTGTCAGCGTAACATTCTCTTTTTCTTCCTTTTTTCAGGGTGGTTTTTGTCTTTTTGAGGTTTCACAAATTCAGTGTATTATGTGCTTTTGATTTTTTCTAGGGTAAACTACTATTTTGGTCTCTCAACTTCTAAGGAATTCAGATTTTAGTCATTCAATTTTGGGTTCATATAAAAAAAATATGCAAACTATACCATTTTTCTTAAAGTGGTACCCAAACTATTTTTCGGTCGATCCATATGTCTAACGTTACAAACGTTATCACTTTAGGTGTATCGACTGTAATGGAGGTTAATTTTTTCGTTAAATGACATGTGTCACGCTAAAGTAATTTATAAAATTTATTAAAAAAAACATAAAAAAATTATTATACATACAATTAAAAATTCCTAATTTCTCTAAAATTACAAAAAAAAAAACTAAATCCCTAAATATCCTTAAAACCAACACTAACCTTACACACTCCATTGCCAGCCACGGTCGCCATTGCCCCCACCACCCTTGGCATTTCCCTTGTCAATCTTCGTCTCCTTTGTCATCGCGAGTGTCATCGGGTTGCTTAGGAGTCGCAAATTTTGAAAGTTTGGTTGGTCAGGTCACCATTTTATTCGTCGGTTGTTTGTCGAATTTATGGGTTCTAGGTATTTGTGATTGGTTGCTCATTGGTGGAGGTTTTAGTGGAGGTCCAGTCGATGGCAACGACAGCACACAACGACGGTGGGCATGAATATAAGGATTGGAATGAGAGTTTTCAAAGTTTTCAGGATTTTTTAAAAGATTTTTGAAAATTTTGGATTTTTAAAATATAATTTTGTTTTTTATTTTAAATATATTTTTAAAATTATATAAATGAGACATATGTCACTTAACAAAATATTTTAACAAATGTCACGGTCGAGACACCTAAAGTGGTAATGTTTGTAACGTTAGGCATCTTGATTGACAAAAAAAGTAGACACCACTTCAAAAAAAAAAAAAAAGAGGGTATAATTTGAATTTTATATTATCATTATCAAGACTTAAATTTTTAAAACTATTATCATATATGTCATTTTCCTTGAAAAATAATTATAATACAAATCATCATATTATTAAAAAAAATATTTGACTTTGACAAAGATCAAACCAAGAACATTAGAGAAGAATATGACTTTTGTTCTATTAATGTTGTAATTAGGTATTTGATTGAAAATATTTAGAGGAGAGATTTGTTGGTTATATATGAAAGTAAAAACATTTCAAAGGATTATTACTCCCAAGATAGTAGGTTTATGGAATAAGTACAAATATAAATCATTTAGAAGAATCAACACTATTCTAGTGATTCTCATTATTAAAAAGTAAAAACTACTAAAATACTATGAGAATAATTTTTCAATCAAAACAATATGTTCAAAATAAGGTTATATTAGCAAGACAATGAGTCACTGTATTAACTCACTGAATCAGGAAAAAAAATAGATATGTTCAAATAAAATAAGCAGCTTTCAATTGCAAAGTGACAACAAAATCATCATTGAAAGAAAAAAAAAGGTTATAAAATCAATAGCAAAACATGTGTGGGATAACATAAAAAAAAAATCACTGTTTAAAAATTAGATTATTTATTAAATAAGGAAAAACAAAATTTTTTAAATCATAAGTATACAAAATAGATATATAAAATAGAAATCGGAATCATCTATCAGCGCCAACAAGATTGATATGAACAGCGGGTTAATTTGAAAAATTAATAATAAAAAAACCAACGAGTCAAATAATGGAAAAGTAATATATATATATATATATATATATGTCAAAACGGTATTTCTCTTAAGAGAGTGAGATTTTGAAAACTACATTATTTTTAATTATCTCTCTCTAGATTGATTTTTAATTAAAAAATGATGTGATTTTAGAAAACCTCTTTCGTTTCGAAAAATTTGTGATTCCTTTTTATAATAAAACGTACAGTTCGAGAAGTCGCCACCAATCCTTAATTAGGGTGTGATTGGACACCCAAAAAATATATTTGTCATTTTAATAAAATATTAATTTTAATTAAAAAGACAAACTTGGGGTATGCGTTATCAAAATTTTAGTTCAGGAGTCGATTACGTGTGGAGATGGATTAGCACCCCCACAACGTCCTAAATCGGTACTTAGTTGATTAAGTAAAGTCTTTGCAATAAAATTTATGAACTCGTCTTTAATTTGATTTATGATCCCAAAACAACAAACATGTGAATTTATAATATTCAAAAGCATCGAAATAGATTTAACCGAAATTATCAAACCTTTAAAAAAGATAAAGAATATTCAATTATTTAAAAATATCGAGACAAGATATTAGATAAGTTCTAACTACCTTTTCTCGAAAAATTTAAATAACAAAATATTTCTTTTTCTTTCGTTTTCAAATTTTAAAGTGATTAATCAATTTTTTGGTGTCACTAATGAGATACACTTTTAATTTAAAATCGTCAAAAGCGGATATCTAATCAGTTAAGACAACCCACCTAAAACAATTTTAAATTAAAATAGTATTACCCTTAATCCAATTATGTAATAATAAGCCGAGTTCTTCACGTGAGGCTAACATGCGTATAAAAAAAATTACACCTAAATCTATGCGTATGAATAACATGCTTGAAATAATATATACATGAAGGAACAAATAACTTACATATAAAACAATTTTAATTCTATGCAATTAATACAAATATATATACGGTATAAACATATATATATATACACACACTATGCAATTAATGATATATATCATAATGAAGTAAATATTCACGTAAATATAGAGAACAATTTTTTAATGGACATATATTAAAGGAAATGAGTGTAAATGTTAACAGTATTCTAAAATGGATGGAAATTGAGCCGATTTTTTAATTACATATTTAATGTAAACCTACAAAAAAAACATGTTTACGTGTTTGGTATATATATTTATATATTACCATAATTAGAATAATGCATCTATGTACATGTCACAGCCTATCATAATACAAGATCCAATTATGGGATATACTTAACATATATATATACCACGTAAAGTACACGAAGTCATATATGAACACATTTAATATTATGCATATTATAATTAAACAAATATATAACTAATTAAAGAGAGCAATTAATTAACGAGGAACTAAATTGAAATCAACAGAATAATTCAAGGACTTAATTTTAATAAAATGAAACAACTCAGCATGGTGACCAAATTGACATAAATCAAAATTAAGTATAAATAAATTAAAAATATGGAAGGGACCAGAACGTGAAAAACACCTAAATTGAAAGGACTAAAACGCATTTTCACCTAATGTTCTAAGAACAAATAAAAAAATGGAAAATATATACAATTAGGACAAAACAAAACATAAATAACATAAAAGGTAAAAAATCAGTGACTAATGTGTAAATAAGAGGCAAATGTATAGTAACCTTAAAGCAAGTAATCCTAATAACCTAATATAAAACCCTATTTTAGACTAATCCTAATCTAATTTTAAACTAGCTTTCAGCCGCACCTCCCTTTTCTCTCCACTCATCTTCTCCATTCGAGAGCTTTGAAGCTTTCTAATCTCGCCCTCTCGTCTCCCTTTCTCGTTCGACGAAACCCATGGTCGAGAACCACAGAACCTAAAAATTCCATGAACACGCCGCCTCTCTCAACCTTCCTCCTCTCTACTCTTCTTCGTTTCACCCCAAACGAAATAAAACGGCCACCGTGGCCCTCTACTGCTCAAGCCCCCCTGAGGCCCTGACGATGGAAAGAACTCTACCAACGAAGAAGAAAAGGTAAATTTCTTATATGATTTTTTCCTTCCTATGGACATGGTTTCAATTGCTAAAAACTCCTAAATGTCTTACATGGGTTCCATTTACTTCTCTGACCACCGCCGCGGTGGGTACCGGCGACGAAGGACTCGAACCGACAAGGTAAACGCTTCAGTCTCTTCTATTCTCTAAACTTTGTTTCCAAACAAAAACGCACACACACCACACTAAAAAAATAAGAAAATGCATGAAAAATACTTTAAATTGCTATTGCTTTCAAAGAAAAGAGAGAATGATCCCTCGTTACAAACTGTTTTTCTGAGTTTCAGAATACCCTTCGAAGGCCTAAGGTTCACTCGATTCTGGAGAAGAAAACCACGAGCTGCTCTTCACGATGTATGGTTTCCTCGAGGCCCCTGTCCCTCTCGATTCTTTAATTTTTTCCTTTAGTGATGGGATATCGTTTTCAATCTCTTGAATTGCATTGCTGGTCTCTTCTTTTTTTTCTTGTTAAAAAACCGAACCCCCTCTTTCCTTTCTTTTTCAAAAATCGAGAGCCCCCTCTTATTCGAATCTGCCCCCAATTGTTCTCTCCATTTTCTTCACCAAATCCCTTGACTTATGGTTGGATTAGGTATATAAGATGGTGGAAATCCCGGATTTTAAGGGATTAAGTTGCTTCCTTTTCGACTTTGGTTGTGATTTTGGTTGACTGTAGATGATTTGTGCAGAATTGACTTCGATGGTAGAGGCTCAGGATGGCTTGTCAACGACTTACACGTGCGGAGGGGCTGGGAAGCTGATTCTGGTCTTCGGGTTGATTTTCTGGGCTCCGGGATTTGTTGCAATCTGAGGTTGTAAATTGGGCCTGCAAATGTAAATTAATAAATAATAATAATAATATAATTAATATTTATAATATTTTTTTAAACTCGGTAAAAAACGGGTGTCTACAATATATATATATATATATTAAAAAATAAATAAATGAAGAAAGAGGGTAAGATTAAGGATGTAAATGAACAAAATTATTTGTGAACCTTTCGTTTAACGTTTGTTTATTAAGTTAAATAAATTAATATGAATAAATTTTTTATGTTTATTTAATAAATAAATGAATACGAACATATGCATGTTCATTTTGTTTCGTTTATGTTTAGAAACAAGTTCATCTATTAATTCGTTTGATATTAGTGAAAATATAGACTAAATTTAATACATGGTGAACTTGAAGCCTAATGAGCTTAAG